GTTTTCCACATCTAGGCGCTGGAGAGGAGATAATAGATAAGAACCAGGAAATTAATAGGAGAATGACGAAAGTTAAGTACAACAAAGTAGCAAAGAGAGCTATTATAGCAGAACCAAGCAATAATAGCAAACGTACAGTGACTGCTCAAAAAGCAAGTGGTGAACCCGTATATGAGAAAAAAGAGTATAACAAAAACAGGGTGACGGAAGTTGAAAAACTTTTAACAGAAATGTTCAAAATAACACAAAAACTATGCATTGAGCATCAGCTCAAGTCCGAATTAGAAGCAATTCAAAATCTAAAACTAAAATTTGACAGTACAACAATAGATGATGAAATTCAGCTAGTTAGAAGATGTCAAATATTGCAACATGAAGATGTTACAATATAATATACAATCGTTAAAGACAAATGCAAACTATATAGAATTTTACCTAAACAAATACCAATATGACATAGGAGTACTGTGTGAAACTTTTTCACATCAAGGCTCCAAAAAAATTTTAAATTATAACACCATTGGAAAATATAGGCCTGATGGATATGGAGGAGTAGCGATATTGTTTAAAAAAGGTATTAAATTCACCCCAAAATTAGATATAGTACAAATTTTGATGTTCTTATTGCTGAAACCAAAAATCTAAAACCCAACATTACGATATGTGCGGTGTATTTCCCACCTAGTATTCCTAATGGTATATTCAAGGAAGAAATTCAAAGAGTGCTTAATTTCCTAGAGGGCCACCACAACGTTTTATTACTGGGAGATTTCAATGCTAGGGCTGTAGAATGGGGAGATACTATCAGCTCATGTAGAGGCAAAAATTTCTATAACACTATACAAGAGTACAGCTTCATAAATCTTAATGATGGGTCCCCAACGTACAAAAGAGATCTCAGGCAAACAAATGGCTCGGTACTAGACCTAGCCTTTACAAATTCCAACATCAGGTTTAAATGGTCGGTAGATCCAGTAACGATTGGAGGTAGCCATCACTTCCCAATTACAATTGAAAGTCCCACAATAGTCACTTCAGAGATGCAATTTCTAGCGAATAACAAATTAATCAAAGCCTTAAAAGAAGCACACATAGAACCTGATATTGGATCCATTGAAAATACACTTCAAGAAGAAATCAAAAATGCAACCGTTAGATTAAATAAGGGAAGAAGGCCAAAAGCTTGGTGGAATGATGAGTTAGCAAAGGCCTTTAGATTGTTTAAGGTCGCTCAATACAAATGTAACAGACTGCCTTCTGTAGAAAATTTAGACAATTTGGAGAGCATGAAATCCCAATGGAAAAAGCTAGTAAAGGAAGCCAAGAGAAACAGTTTTGAAAATAAAATAAATGAAATTAATGAGAATCCTACAACAAAAGATGCATGGAGGTTTGTCAAAGCTGTAAGGGGGGATTATCAGAGAACTAATCAGGTTCAGTGGCCACAAGAAGAAGTTAAAGAATACCTTAAAATGTTAAAACAACAAGTTGGCCCTAACGAAGAGTTTCAGGAAGTTAATAAGGAAATCATTCCGGATTGCAGTCTTGCCATTACATATGAGGAGCTAGTTGAAGTACTAAGTAAAAAAAATAAAAACTCAGCAGGTGGACAAGATAGAATAACGTATAAAATGATTAAAGCGTTACCAGATAGTTCACTGAATAATATTCGTTCAGCTTTGAACGATATTTGGCTTACCAATCAAATTCCTGATAGTTGGAGGAACATTAGAATTGTCCCAATCCCTAAAAAAGACAAAGATTTAGATGATTATAGGAATTTTCGACCAATAGCTCTGATGTCAGTACTGTTAAAGTGTGTGAACTCATGTGTGAAGAATAGAATAGTTGAATTCATGGAAGAACATAATATTCTGCCGTACACAACCTTTGCTTATAGAAAAGAAAAATCAGCTACAATGGCAGTAAATTACCTTCTGCACCAACTTGCCATCAACAAATATAAAGGACGTAAAATCTTAATTTGTGCACTTGACATTAGTAACGCATACAATTGTGTCAGCATCACCAAACTGAGAGGAATGTTAACTAGTATGGGAGTAGTAGACAACATAGTGGAGTGGGTTACAAACTTTCTGGCCTTTAGGAGGCTGAATCTAGCTGGTGAAATAATGGAGATTAGTGGTGGTATACCTCAAGGCAGCTGCCTGTCCCCAATTTTATTCAACATCTATACGATAGAGTTACATAGCATCAGGGACCAAAACACAGACTTATGTCAATTTGCAGACGACTTTATTGTGACATCCTATGGGGATAATTTAGAGGAGGCAACGCACAACTTACAAAACAAAATTACACAAATTGGGGATATATGCCAGAGGTTAAATCTCTCTTGCAATCCTGCAAAAACTAAAGTTTTATATTTAAGCAAGGGGAGTAAGAAGGTCATTAATGTCACGTTGAATGGGTTACGTGTTGAGCAGACAAAGTCTCTTAAGTTTTTAGGCAGAAATATTAACGCCTCACTCACGCTCACTGAGCACTTTGACTCTATAATAAAAGAATCAGCTAATAACTCCCAACTTTTCAAATTAATAACAACAATTAAAGCGGGCTTAAGGCCCAATGTAGCTCTCAATTTTTACAGGTCGATGGTAAGATCGAAAATTGAATATGCCAGAACGTCTACTGCCAATAGCTGTATCACTGTGGACAAAAAAATTAGAACATATCAGAACAGCTTCTTAAGAAGGGCACTGGGAGTGACCCCATCTACACCAATACCGTTAATATATGCGCTGGCCAATGAGTTGCCGCCTGCAGAAAGAGCGAAGTGGCTAACTGCTAAAGAGATCATCAAAATTTTTTCCACCAACAATCCATGTAAACAGGCCATTAAAGAATTTCCCAATGTTAATTCTAGCTATAGCAAAGTGTACACTGAATTTAGACACATACTTGATCGTCTAGGTGTGACCGATCACGTTGCTCTTCCTACGAACATGACTGTCAAGACTAAAATCCTTCCTGACAAAAAACAAAACACACCGACGGAATTAGCTAGATCAATTTATGCGAATATCATTGACGATTATAACACAGCTAACTATAAAATTTTCTTTACAGACGCGTCTGTACAGCAGGATAGTGTGGGGATTGGAGTATATGATCAATGTGAGAACAAAGAATATTCTTACAAGATTGGGTTTAGGTCTTCGTCAAGTTTTGGGGAAGTCCAAGCAATAGATAAGGCAATAATGGTAGCAATCAATCTAGGTTATGAGAAAATTGTGATATTTACGGACAGTTTGGTAGCATGCCAACTATTCCTTAAAAATCACAATGATAACTATAACATAGAGCAAGTTTTAAAAAAAATAATTAGCCATGACATAGTAGTTCACATAATATGGATACCAGCTCATATTGGAATAGCTGGCAACGAAAAGGCTGATCAAATTGCCAAAGCCGCTACAAATTTATCTCAAACCTTTGAGGTAAGGTTGTCTATTAAAGAAGCATTAAAAACAAATCACAACATTATCAGAGAAGACTGGTATAATCAGTTTTTACTATATTCAAGTAATAAGCCCAATTTATATGCTCAGATCTTTCCGAGAAGTCCCAGACAGTCCTGGTTCAATAAATGCACACTTGCTGCCAAAGAGACCAAAACTATAAACAGAATTTTTACTGGACACACTTATGATCAAGCATATCTGCACAGAGTGGGAATCATTGGCTCTAACAGATGCATGTGTGGAGAAACTAATAGTTATGAGCACTTAATATTTAGGTGTGAAAGGCTTAATGCGGTCAGAAATAAATATAAAATAGTTAAGAATAATAGTGACTTTTTTAACATATTCCAAGGTATGAACATTGGCAACATATCACAACTTTCATATTTTATAAAAGAAGCTCATTTAAAATTCTAAGATATCGTTACAGTTTAATTTTGGTTTATGTCTTTCTTAATTGTAACGCGAATACATGTCCAGAACTCTCTGTCTCGTCTACAATGTTGGCCTAAAGCCTATCGAGTCATACACTAATATACACACTCACAAATTATTAAATTTGTTGTCGTATTCGATAACATTCTAACAACCAAACCGTTTGCTACAATGGCAACATAAATACATGTTGCGATCAACTGTCAGAGCAACCCTGCTAGCAGAGCTGTCAACGACTCAGCACATTCATCCAATTACAAAAATCAAGTCCATACCAAGGAGGAATTAAACTCACTATCAAGGAAAAAAGAGCATTCGTTGTAGTGGCAGCAAAACACAGTTTTGCAAAGGAGAGGAATAACCTGGCTTTTGTGAGCGTTCGGCTCCGCCAACACATATCAAAACCCAAAAAAAAAAAAAAAGTGCATTGGCTCGCATTTGCTTTCAAATCGTTTGTTTTTCTTTATTTCTCACTCGATTAAGAAAATACGTGTAAACGCATTGTTCAATCAGTTCAAATCGTGCGATTTTCTTAATATAGCCCATTTTTAATTTGAACCATTGTTATAATAAATTTAAATATTGTTCGAAAAACTAGTTTTTATTTTAAAAACTTATTCCGGTTATCACATTTATGTACTCTAAATATTAAAACTACGTGTTTTCAGCTATGGGATAGTCGCAACGCTAAAATTTGAAAAAAAAAAAAACTATAAAAACTAATTTTGTTACCATTAATTTCTAGAATGCTAACAAAAAGCAAGCTTTGCAAAGAAATAGAATAAATACAAAATAAAAAATATGAAATAGGAGATAGGAGATAATCAGTCGCATTTCAGGACCAGCCGTATGAAATGTCGAATATATTTAACAAATCGACGGAAAGGGTTAAAAAAAATTCGAGGGGTTTTTTTTAACATTAAAACGATTTGAATCTCCAAAAACCTACTTTATTCACCTTTTATTTGTTACTAAGTTTACTTTTTTAATTCGACAAAAGCGCATCCACGGTACGCAGTAAGCTATGAAGTTACTTAATATCCCTACGCTGTAAATGTCGAGTTGATTGTTGATACTTACATCATAATTTCCAATTAATATATTTCCTCCAAGATTACTTTCAGCTGATCCGACTTCATTATCTTTTGAATTCAATTCTTTGACGTCCGACTGTTCCAGAGTATTCGTTCTTATTTTCAACTTGGACCCAGTCATTTCAATACATGCCTTTTGTTTAGTAATTTTATTCATCTTCTTCGAGGCACTTTACTGTTTTCGCAACAATCGGTTATGCATCAGCGATTTATGAAATTACAAACTGCACTTCTTCTTAGATTATTTGCGCAGAAAAATACAACAACATACAATATTTAAAATAAATAGAAACACTGGTATTATTCATTTATTTAATATGCTAAGTAATTATTACAGCAATTATAATAAAAATATTTTTACAAATTTATTTTTGAAATTGTATTCTTTTCGAATGTTGTGTTTTCATCTAAGTCTTTCAGCTGTTCGTGCCATACTGAAAATTCCAAGAGGTAAGTAGTTACGCCTGAGAGAACACGCTCTTCCACCTGTCTTGCTAAACTTATTCAGAAAAGCGCTTGGTGGTGGAAATCAACAGGTACAAAGTATTTAAAGAGAAGACATAAATGCACTGGAAAAACCAAGCGCTTCGTTGATGGACAAACATTTTCTTTGCCTTCTCGGGCAAGCGTTAATTCATTTCTGTAAAATTTATTACAAAGAAAGAAATGGAAGAAAATATCTCGCTTGGTTAGGCTGAAATCGATATACAGGGTATCCTAGACCACCCGTTCAACCCCTCTAAAACAGAGGGAAACGTTTTTTATTGAAAAACGTAAAAATATGATCTACCAATTCAGTGATGCCCTATCTTAAGGCCCGTATGCAGCTCTAAAGAAAACGTTGGTGGTACTATCGACCGAAAGTGGGTTAGACTGGCCGAAAGTCATTTTTTTAAATGAGACATATGTATGTATGTACATATTTTTACTACAGATTCGAATTCTGAAGATAAAAATAAATAAGAATTTTGTTTGAAACTTTTTCTCGGAATTTTTTCACCTCTAAATGACCTTCGAACTTCAACTCGTCCTGGACTTCTGAAATGAGTAAAAAGCCAGTAGATAATTTGAGGAGCTAAAAGCCCTTCCAAAAGGCCTTCTTGAAAGTCAAGAGGCTTCCCACTCTGTATTCCCTTATTTTTTTGTATGGAGTGGCAGAAATTGAAGGCCTTCTGCTTTCGTTACCCAAATAAGGGCTTCTAGAAGGGCTTTGTAGGACGTGTTTAAGAAGACCTTTTGGAGGAGTTCTTAATTCATAAAAATCATACTTCCTTAAAGAGTTTATTTAAGGTTTATTTCAAATATGTTTTGATTGCAATCGAAAATGCATATTTAAATTCATTTGTAGTGTTAAATAATATAAACTTACACATTCGCATAAATTGCAAATATCAAACGCCCTTTTAGAAGCCATGCAGGGAAGCACTATTTCCAGTATTTCTTCGGTAGGCCTTTGAGAATGGCTTTTCTTAAGAAGGCCTACTTAAATTATTTTCTGAGAATGTTTTATCGGAAAACGAAAAAATATTAATTACCAAGAGGGGGATGCTCTATATTTTGGTTAACGGACCGGAAGTCCATTGTTTTAACCGGAAGTCCATTCAAGAAAAAAGTTTCCGAAAAAGTTATGTATTTTTATGAACAGAATTCGTGGTAAAAAACATGTACATATATCCCATTTAAAAAATGGACTTCCGATGAGTTTAACTCACTTCCGGTCGAAAGCGGAAGCCGGTAACAACACCACCTAAAGATAGAGCATCCCAGATTTTGTAGGTCCTATTTTTACGTGGGTGTGGACGGGGGGTCTAGAACATCCTGTACTTTCCCTGCAGGGAAACCGCGGACTTGTGAATAAAATTTCTAGTTCTGTAAAGATCTTTTTTGCCAAATACGAACCAGTCCGATAGTAACTAGATCCCAGACAGTTCAAAATCAGCGAAATGTACTCTTAAAAAAACTATTTTATTTCACATCTTTCATTATAAATCTATATCTAAGGTGACGAATTTAGAACTGGTTCGGAATTATAGAAAAAGGGATGCAATACGAACTAGATCTTATCTGACGAGTTTAGAACTAGTTCGGAACTACCGAAAAAGGGATGCAGCGGGGGCTTGTTTACTTTACATAGATATATGTTTGCGGATTTTTCGTTCGAATGCACTTTCATTCTGCACTTCGCGTATGGTTTTTCATAATTTGGTAATACAAAACAAAAGTGTGTGTTAACATTTTAACATCTTGGAACCGTCTGGAACTAACCAATAACAGCGAGCACCTCTGCAAAGTCAGCTACAGCCAAAGGCATGTAAACGTACATTTCTTACAATCATTCAAACAAATTTAATTTCAAATTGAAAAAAATTTCTTTGAAAATAATTTAAAATCGCACACGGAAGAACCGAAAAGATTGAAAAATCATGATGCTTTTCTCTTTCGTATGTCGATTTTAGAATTGGTTCGGAACAATAGAATTTCGGACTAGTTCGGAACTATCGAAAAAGGGATGCAGCGGGGGGCAATTGACACTTCCTAGGACATCAACATGTTAATTCGCCAGTTGTTTGCATGCAAAAGCACACCAGTTCAGATCTAGAGACATTCCCCACAGGGTTGAAAATTCGTATATGGTACAAATTTTGGACAAACCTAAATTAGTCGCTTATACTATACATACTAGACATAGTACATAGGAACTTATACATATGAACTTACAATGCTCTGCAGCTAAAAATGGCCAAAATTAAGGTCGCCTAATAAACTGCGGTACTGGGGTACGGTCTTTATACGGGTCATGCAGTTTCAGTGCACGACTGTAATCGATCCCGATTATTAGTTGGGTTTCAGGTACAGAAGTCCACGCATGTGTGGAAAGTTTTTAATAGTCATTCACCAGGGAGTGGTCAAAAAAGGTGTTTACACCAAGTGTCCTCCAGGTAGCAACCGAACGCGTGTTCGGGAGCGACCTAATTGTGACTGTACTAAGTTCCAGTATGAAAATATTAACGAAGCTACATACTTACGTGGCTGTTTACAGATGAAAAAATGAGTAAACAAATCGATCATGTTGTGATAGACGGAAGGTACGCTTCCACCGTTTTAAACGTACGTTCACCCCGAGGGACAAACATCGACTCGGATCAGCACATAAGATACGCACATGCTTCTGTGCAGCAAAAAATGTGCGTCCAATAATGCAAGGGAATCTTAACGTCGAAAAGCCGCAATCGCATCTTCTCTCAGGGAGCAGTCTTCAACAAACCGACATATGCGAGGTGGAACTACAATTCTCACTCATTACGTCGTACCGCCGGAGAAGTAGTCGGATTTCAGTGAGCCCGAAAACGCAAGTGGTACGAAGAGAAATATCACAAAGGAAAAAAAGATGTCGTCTGACGATGATGGTGCAGTCGAACTCCCGACGACTATGCCTAGGTACGAATAGCAGTTACTTTGCTGAACAAATATGAACGATTGACATATGTAGTTCGGCGGATTAATATACGGCTCCGTTGGCTTGGCCATGTAGTGGATGGGCATTGGCCATTGGCATGGCGGCGATAGAAAGACCAGATGGAGGACTTGGGTTCACTTGGCATTTCCAATTGTTGACACAAAAATAAATGATTGGTGTGCTTTTTTGGACTCGACCAGAATCGCGTTTCTATGGGATCTTGAGAGAAGCGTACGAGCACTGCCCATGCCACGATGTTAAAGTCGTCTTAGGAATATTTGGTCCATCATCGAAACATCCACAAAGGCACTTGGGCGTCCCCCGATTAAATAACGAAAAACAAAATTGATGACGTTGTGATAGACGAAAAATTAGAAGTGGGACTCCATCTCCCAATCAGTTCGCACCGTTGCGGAAGAGGTGGTTGGTTACCTCTACCCACCCCGAAACAAATGGTATGACGAAGAGTGCCGTGCCGGTTCGATGGAGAAATACGCAGCAAACCAAGCCGTCCTGCATCCAATGGCGACGCGAGAGACAACTGAACGATACCGTGGAAAATAGAGACGTCTTAAAAAAAAAACGATGGATAGGGCGATGTACCACCTGCCGAAGATTGAAATCTCAGCGCACTTTGCCCAATCTATTAGAAGGAGATCCTGCTGTTTGGGCCTATTTGCGCAGGATAAGCCTTCTTAACATGGTATGCAAGGTCTTATCGATTCTGTGCGAATAACTCAAACCTTCACGACTGGCCAGATTTTCGCAGTTCGTCAAATCATGGACTCGAATCACGGCATTTGATATCGAACTTACATATGTAACTCGAATGGAAATTTGATTTTGAGATCACAGCATTCGATAGCCAGTGCGCCTCGGCAATTGAAATTGTATTATGGAGAAAGCCACTGTCATTTTATTCGATTCGATTCGAAACGTGTAATCACAAACAAACGTCTTCTTGACTTGCGACATATCGTCCCGTTTCTGCCTTAACCACGTATCTACAATTTTTGGGAAAACTAATATTACCACTTATAACAGCTGTTTAAGCGTCACACTATTTCAAAATAGAACAAAGGCTTAATGAGGGTGCTCACTACTGTTAGTGGAACCAGAAATATTAAGTAAAAAA